GAGTGAGATGGTGGTGGGAGTGAGATGATGGTGGGAGTGCGATGGTGGTGGGAGTGAGACGGTGGTGGGAGTGAGACGGTGGTGGGAGTGAGATGGCGGTGGGAGTGAGGTGGTGGTGGGAGTGAGATGAAAGTGGGAGTGAGGTGGTGGTGGGAGTGAGATGGTGGTGGGAGCGAGATGGTGGTGATAGCAGGCCCTCAGATTTGTTGTAAGACCTCAAGGCAAACCTTGTGGCCCTCAAGTCAGGCCCCATAGCAGGCCAGACCAGGCCAGACCAGGCCAGACCAGGCCAGACCAGGCCAGACCAGGCCAGACCAGGCCAGACCAGGCCAAACCAGGCCATACCAGGCCAGACCAGGCCAGACCAGGCCAGACCAGGCCATACCAGGCCATACCAGGCCATACCAGGCCATACCAGGCCATACCAGGCGAAACCAGGACACAGCAGGCCAGGGCGGGGCATGCCTGACTAGGCCACAACAGATCGGACGAGATAAGTGCAGGCTCAGACAATGCAAAACCATGCAAGACAAGACGTAAACCCTGATGTTGGAATGCCCATGGCGTCCATCCATGCATTGGAAGAGATGGACGTGATTCAAGTGGCATGCGAGTGGAATGCAGGCAGCGAAGGCATGCATGGGAGGGGAGGGGAGAATATCTCAGAGTGTGCTGCAGTGGTGCTCCTCTCAGCAGGCCGCCCTCCTCTCCTCTCCACCGAGGTCGCTGTGTGTCTCCAGCGCTCACCACAATGTAGTTATGAATTCGGTATAACAAGATCAGACAAAGGCTATTGCAGCTGCACCTTGTCACTGCATGGAGTTGTGACACCAGGCTATTGCAGGTGCACCTTGTCACTGCACCCCCACCACTCTACCCACTTCATGCCCTCCCCCCCCCCCCCCTCCCCCCCCTCCTCCAACCTCCCTCTGCTTGTTACAGCAGCTGCTATTGTGTGGCATGCTCGTAGTGTTCCAGCGACCTTGAGGGGATTCTGCTGAGTGAAGAACATGCACGGGTGAAGGGCAGGAATGAGTGAATGGCAGGCATGGGTAGGTTCAGAGACGCAAGGGCGGTTCATTGAGGGAAGCAAGTTTGATTCCAAAATGGCAGTGGAGTGGGATGCACACTGTAGCATGATGTATGGGATGAGATGAGGTATGGGACCAAATGCGCCTTAGTGGGATGGAATGGATGTCTAAGTAGTATCTTCTCCAATTAGTCGCACAACATGGCTTCTCTTATATGCTTTCTAAATGAAGCAATCCCATCATAATCTGAATGCCTTTAGGAGAAAGAGGGGGATGGAAGTGGAAACAAATGGAAAAGAAGAGCGGGGATGATTGAGATGCAAGGAGCAACGTGCTCTGCTTGTTCTTTTTTCGGAATTCGACGCTTGCCTACAAAGGAGGGATTCACAAAGTAACAAAATGCAAGTCCTACAAGCAAGTGTGACGGGGTTAATGCAAAAGAGATTGCAAATAGTAGCAATTGCCAACCGCTTTTATACATGCTGATTCAAGGATTCATTCTAAGCGCTGAGGAGAAAGCAGTCCTTCCTTAGATGGCATGTGCTGTCAAGGCATGTGCTGTCAAGTCATGTGCTGTCAAGGCAAGCGTGATGTTCTAAAATGGACTACTTAGTTAACTCTTACATATGCTTAACGCAAGTGCTAGAATGCTTCGAGGTAAAAGTGGTGTTGAAAGAGCATGCAGGGGTTCACGTGTATGCCTCCCTGCAGTGTAGGAATGCCTGTAGAATCAGTTGAATCAATTCAGCTCGCACAGCAGCAATATCCTTGATCACAATTTTCCTCCATTCGCCAAAGCTTTTGAGTCCTTTGACGCTCCGTACCTATGACCCCCCACCATCTCTATTCCATGCTTTCAAAGCTTAGCAAGCACTGTAAACAGTCGTCAAGTCGTGCACGGCGGCGTCACGTCAGGCGTGCACGACTAGACGAGCATTGCGAACTAGATTGCACTTTTGAGGGAATCTGTTGCAAAGTAGTTATTCGACTGCAAAGGAATTGCCAAGAGCATAAAGCGATGACTGCATTGTGATTGCTTGCTATGGCGCTGCTGCTTGTCTGTGTTGGGGGGTGCGCTAGTTTGTGCACAAGGTGAACTTTAAGAAAGGAGGTGGATGGCATGATGGGAGCCGGTATCGATGCGTTTATACGATTAGATAATTGACAACAGGAAGGAAGGCGGAGAAGATAGGGGAGAGATGAGCGAAGGCGCTGGATAACCTGATCGGGGTGGCGGGAGAATTGGTTGGATGTTGGGTATGACAATTGGTGACAGATATTGCCACTACATCCTGCGACACTTCTCTTCTCTTACCTCTATCGCCGTGCAGCGCCGCCATGCCACCAGCTGAGAGGCCGGCATCGAATAGCGAGGCCTTGATATCGCAAAGACATCGACCCTGGTACGTGGTTCCCCTCGTGTATCTTGCCACCTTCACAAGCCATGTGTGGTTGAATGCCGACCCTGGCGACATTCTTGAGCCAGTGTGAATGCCGACAAAAGGACACCGTACGTAATCTGAGTAGGGGATGTGCCTGACGAATAGGCGTGTGCCTGACAAATAGGGGTGTGCCTGACGAATAGGGATGTGCCTGACGAATAGGGATGTGCCTGACGAATAGGGGTGTGCCTAACGAATAGGGATGTGCCTGACGAATAGGGATGTGCCTGACGAATAGGTGTGTGCCTGACGAATAGGGATGTGCCTGACGAATAGGGGTGTGCCTAACCTCACCTGTGAGGCCGACCTGGAGTGTGTGCCCATGCGATGCCTCACTTGACCTGTATGAGTATCTGACTGACTTCTGGTGCATGCCTAACACAAAATGGAGTGTGCCTGACCTAGAGTGAATCCTTCGAACCAGTCACCTCGCCGCTGTCTCGAGGTGTGGTTGAGCCGGCCCAGCATGTGAGACTGGTCTGTGCTCGCACCTTTTCATGCTTCACATGCTTCCAAGCCCCGCATCCACCCACTCGTCACTCCTGACTGGCCCCTCGCCACCACGAATGCCGCTGCTGCTGCAACCTGTGGCCAGCGAAGAGAAGGTGATGTTGTTGGTGAGGGAAGGTAAAGGGAGCGGGAGTGAGTGTGGGAGAAGAGAAGGTGGTAGGGGCGTAGTGCTGAGCGAGGAGGGGAAAAGCTTTTGGTAAATCGGTGTAGACGTTCATCCTTCCATAAGCAAACTGGGCGTGGATCAGCTAACAGCCACTCATACAAGCTCTCAAACACGGCTTTTTCTGCCTCCCTCGTTGCCTGCGAGTCCCCGTTTGCATGATCGTACTCAGCCCAGTGCCTTTTGCCCTCCTCACTCTCATCCTTGGCCGTCTAGAACTTCCACCCCCATGCTCTCCAGCCAGCTCCTATAACAACAATACCTGGTGCAAGAGGGAAGCGACACCCAGGAAGATTTGGTCTTTACTTGAGTGGCATGCTGGAGGCATGCATGCGACAAAGACTCGCATGTCAAGTGAAATTATCTCTAAGCAAGCGTGCTGCAATGGTGCAAGAAGCAGAATGGCTTTTGACATTTGAGGCGCCTCAAAGCCTCCTCTCCTCTGGGATCCGCTGTGTGTCGCCAATGCTTAGAAAGGGGCGACTGCAACTGATCCAGTCAGTGCATCCCACACAATCAGATTGCCTCTCTCTGTACCCAATGTCGTCCAAAATGGCCACGGTAGTCACCCAACACAATAGGGTGGGAAGGGGTTGGGCGGGATGGGTGGATAGGGGGTGGCTTGAATGTTATGCGTGCGGTGGAAAAAAAAAAAAAAAAATGGATGCAAGGAGACAGTTGTGGAGGGGAAAGTGGGGGGGTGGGTGGGAGAGGGGAGTGAAGGAAGAGAGGGAGCGTTTGGAATGTTGACGTGTCCAGGAATAACATCAAGACAGCCTAGGGCATCTGCTCTGTGCAGAATCATCTCAATAGGATGGACGAGCGAGTTGCATCAAGACAGCGTGGGGGACAGGGCGGAGGGGGGTGTGGGGTGGGGGAATAGGCATGATTTAAACGTTGACAACTGCATATTGGAGAGGGAGACCATGTTCTGTGAATTCTAAACATGTATCACTTCATCACCCCTGTACAGTCCTCTCCTCTCTCCTCTCCCCCCTCCCCCTACCTATCCACTTTTACCCCCGAAACACTCATCTACTCCGGGCACCTCCCCCAGATTGAGAGCCACCACGACACACTTGGCCTCCTTTTGAGTCGACTCAAAAGCACCACGACACACTTGGCCTCCTTTTGAGTCGACTCAAAAGCACCACGACACACTTGGCCTCCTTTTGAGTCGACTCAAAAGCACCACGACACACTTGGCCTCCTTTTGAGTCGACTCAAAAGCACCACGACACACTTGGCCTCCTTTTGAGTCGACTCAAAAGCACCACGACACACTTGGCCTCCTTTTGAGTCGACTCAAAAGCACCACGACACACTTGGCCTCCCAGCAGCATCCATGCCCCATTCTTCGTCGCGACCTCTCCTCTCCCCCTCACCTGGGGTGGGCGTACCTGGGGTGAGGGGGGAGGGAGTGGAGGGGGGTGCTGGACCAGCAGTGTGAGTGAACCAATTCATTCACTTCCGGTTTCACCGCCTTCTGGGCGTACTTGGGTGGTGGAGGTGGGTACAAGGAGGGGCCATAGGGGGATGGAGGAAGGAAAGAGGGAAGAGAGGGCCGGCCAACGGTCAGTGAGTTCCCACCAGGGGAGCGGACCAAAGCGCGCTCAGCTCAGGAATTTCCACTTGATGGGCGTACCTGGGGTGGAGGAGGTAGAGGCAAAGGGGGTGGTGCCTAGGAGGAAGGAGAGGACGAGGGTGTGGGAGAGGAAGTGGGTGCAGCGAGGGGTGCGGGGCAGAAGAAGGTGCAGCCTCCAGGGAAGGCTCTTGGGACGCTTCAGAAAAAAAGGAGGCCGCCAAAGCTGAGGAGCAGGTGAAATCTCAAGGCAGGGCTGTGAGGAACAATAGATGGCCACTGCTCAAGGCGCAAGGCGCATGGCGCATTGCTCCTCGCCTCACCTGCTACATGCCTCACCTGCTGCATGCCTCCACACCAATGTAAGTGGTCGGCTGAGTTTTGACTTTTTCTCCGCGCGCGCTGCCTTCTTGCCCTCTCTTCTCTTCCCCTCCCTTCACCTCTCCTACCTTCACCGCCAATTCCTTCTCCTCCCCTGCTTGCCCCTTCTCCCCTCCAGTCTCTCCTTCCTTTCTCCCCTCTTGCCTTCGCGTACGCACCCCTTGTCCCTCCTCCCGCCTGTCCCCACTTCTTCACCTGCCCCTTCTCCCCACCTCTGCCCTCCTGCTCCGCCCCCTGCCCCCCCTTCTCCTACCCCTCGCCTCGCATCCCCGCTTCCCCTTCCCCTCCCTGCGCCTCCCCTCCCTGCTCCGCCACCCCTTTCCCTTCCACGTGGCCGCCCGTCGCCACTGCCCCCATCTGCGCAAACCGTCCCACTAGCATGCAATGGCGCGGACTCTCGCGGAGGCGGCAGTAGAGGCGCGCGCACAACGCTGGTGATGGCGGTGGCGGTGGCAGCGGCAGCGGCGACCGGGGCAAGCTTTCACGGCCTCGTCGCGTCGCCGCCGCCGCTTCAGCCTGTGTTGCTCGCAACGATGCTGCTATTTTTGCCGCTCCTACTGCCTCTGCTATTGCCGCCACTGGGAGCCCGGGTGCTTGCCCCATCCGACATTGCTGCTGCTCCTCGTACTTCTGCCGTCGCGGCTTTCTGCCATCGCGAATGGGTTCTCCTTTCTTTCTCTCTCTCTCGTATTTCTCCGTTGTCAACAGTCCTAATTCAATGCCGTCAGTCGCTCTCTAATCGCCTGTCTATCGTTTAATGCGATGGTTATTGAGCCACTACTGACAGGTCACTGTTGCCCTTCTAGCTCTTGCTCGCAATCGCCTGCGCGCGCGCTCAGCAGCACATATGTCCCGTAAATAGTACACTCAGGCGGGGGGGTCTTATGGGCCAGAAATCAATGCACACCCCAGCAGTCATGGGTTCTCCATGAAGAGAGCATTCAACTGGCGGACCTGTGAATGACCTGAGACTGACCTAAGACTGAGCTGAGACTGACCTGAAAATGACCTGAGACGGACCTGAGACTGACCAGAGAATGACCTGAGACTGACCTGAGACTGACCTGAGACTGACCTGATAAACATTAGAATGACTTCAAGTGACCTGAGAATGACCAATGACTGACCAGCGACTGACCAGTGACTGACTAGTGAGTGATAAGAAAAGAAGGGGAATGGAACGGGGAGGGGTGGGATAATGGAAACGGGAAGGAGGTAAGGGGAAGAGGGCAAAGGGAGAAGAAAGTAAAGGGAGTGGAGGGTTATGAGGACGGGAGTGGGTAAGAAGAAGGGGAAGCGGGGTACGCGTAGTGGGAGATGGTAAAGGGACGGGAAGAGATACAATAAGGGAAGGCGAGTGAAGGGGAATGGGGTAATGGAAGAGGGATGGTTAAAGCGACGGGAAAGTGAAGGGGGGGGGTTAAGGGTATGGGAGGGGAGAGGAGGGGGGTCAGTGAACGGGGGAGGGTAGTAAGGGTAAAGGAGGGGGTAAATTAAGGGTAAAAAACGGTGGCCTTGTAAGCATTGTACATGTGCGAGTGGATGCCAGTGGGTGCGAATGAGTGTGCGAAGCAAACCGGAGCAAAAAACAGAGCAGGTCAGGAGGGGCAATAAACGAGGGGAACGGCGAAATGAAAGGGAGGGTGGCCTTGAGAGACTCTCACGAACCCCCTGAAACCACAGCAAGCCCTCAGAGTCTCTCTCACACGTGTCTCACCGTGGAGAAAATCCATTTGTCTGATTATACCCCCCTTCTTCTCCCCCCCCATCTGTCATGCTCGTTCCTCAGCAGCAAGGATAAAAAATACGGCTATTGTATTATACGGGCCGTTTTTTTCGATGGTACGGTGTGTTTGGCAAACTTTCGGCCGTTTTTTTGTTGGCCATTTCTTGTCACGGGATTTTTTCCAGAATCTACTAAAATTGCTACAACAATGACTAGGAAGGCAATAACAACCTACTCTAAGGAGAAATAGGCCTGCAAAGGTCTTCTGCTAATGTCGCTACCCTTACTATGCATGCATGCATGCCTACCTAGGCAAGTCCCTGCCTAGGGCCTCTCCCTTCCTCCCTAATCCATCCCCACTATACTCAACCTCCCTTATATTCTTCCTACTCCAGCACCTGGTCCTTCTCTTCCTCCTCCCCACTCAAACCGTCGCTGCAACCCGTGGCATGTGGAGGTCCCTTCACTACTCTCAACTCATACTCTTCTTTGTCCTTGTCCTCCTCTTCCTCCTCCCCACTTGAACCGTCGTTGCAATCCCAGGCATATGCATATCGTCCCTTGGGATTGTGGGCAGGCTCTTCCTCCTCCCCACCCGCTGTCTTCCGCCTCCTCTTTCCTCTTCCGCATCCCGTGCTTTTCCTTCCCCTCTCCACTGCATGCACCGTTGCCCTTCCCCTTCTTCTTCCCTTTAGATGACTCACGCCGCCTTCCCTTTCCTCTTCTTGCCGATGCTTCCAAATTCCGACCAATCATGGTGTATTCCTCCTCCTCCACTTGTCCCTCCTCTTCAGCATCCCCTTCCTCCTCCTCCACCGTTCGGCCGGGTTGATGGCAGCCTCTCTGAGGGTGCCGTTGCCCAGGTCCGAATATAGAGGCTTGGAGCTCAGCGCTGCCTTTCGATCATAGGCATCACAGGCCCGCCGGGGTGAAGGCGACGAAGGTGACGTCAGTCATCTTCTGCGCCGTGAGGCAGTTCCGGTCCCCCCGACTCTGCACACGTGCCAGCGCCGACCATAGCGCTCCACCTCGGAGGAGGTGACTGGCTGTGAGAGTGACGTCACAGCCAAGCCTTGGGGGCGCCTGCACATCCCTACCAAACAGGAACCACCATTCCGCATCCATCATGCGCCCCGCCTCCACCAAGGTCGTTGCTGCCCAACGGGCATTGTGAGAGCCCAGCCTGCCCTCCCCTCGGTCGCTGATTACTATCACTCTTAACGCGCGCTTCACCTCCAGGAACCTGCCGAGCATGATGACCTGGGTGCCGAATCTCGTTGCACCCAGCCGCACCAACGAGAGCTTGGTAAAAAGCTCACGGAACAACACGACGGCTGAAGCGGAGCCTTTGATCATCATCACTACGCTGTGCACCAGCGCAAGGACGTGCTTTATAGCAGGGATTTTGCCGATGTCGTGCAACATGAGATCTAGGCAGTGGGCGGCGCAGTTGGTGAAGAAGATATGCGGATACTCCAGGCGTAGCTTGTTGGCGGCGTTCTTGTTCTTCGAAGCGTTGTCCATCACGACTTGGACGACATGCTTCGGCCCCACCGTCTTGATCGCTCCCTCAATTAGACCCGCCAAGTAGTCCCTGGTTTTTTTCGCGGTCTTCGAATCGACGATGTCGATGATGACGGGTGCAGTGTCATTAAGCGCGATTACACACACCAAACCGCAGGATTCGATGCATGTCCACCCATCGATGGAGAGCGTGCACCCGCTTGTCTTCGAGCTGTCCGTTAGCGGCCGCACAAGGTCCTCCGAGCCCGCCTTCAGCTTCTCGAGCAACGGGCTGGACACCTTGTATGGGGTGGGGAGGGTGTACGGTTTAGCATACACGATCACCGCGTCAACGAAGGCCTGGATCGACTTTGACTTGCTGACGTTGAAGGCGAGGTCGTTCTCGGCAACTGCAGCAGCCCACAGGTATGTCAAACTCATATGCTATAGTCTGTGTAGGCTGTAGTGGGGTAGACAATATGGGGTACAACACTTCTAGGTTTTCCTACTTGTACTCACTTGCTTGCTAGTTCATTCATTCCTCATTCTTCACATGGTATAGAGCAGGTTCCCTAGTGGGAACGCTTCTTGGGCCCACCACTGAAATTTTCCTCTCTGACCGAAAGCGCCAATCGCTCCTGCCCGAGGCGCGCCTTTTTTGCCGCCCTTTCCAGTCCCCTAGTGGCCCCTAGCGGCCTAGTTGCCGCCCTCCACGCGGCCTCGTTGCCGCCCCTAGCGGCCCCGTCGCCGCCTCTTATCCTACGCGGCCCCGTCGCCGCCCCTACGCGGCCCCGTCGACGCCCCTACGCGGCCCCGTCGCCGCCCCTAGCGGCCCCGTCGCCGCCCCTAGCGGCCCGTCGCCGCCTCTTACCCTACGCGGCCCAGTCCCCGCCCCTACGCGGCCCCGTCGCCACCCCTACGCGGCCCCGTCGCCGCCCCTAGCGGCCCCGTCGCCGCCCCTATCGGCCCCGTTCGCCGCCTCTCACCCTACGCGGCCCCCGTCGCCGCCCATAGCGGCCCCGTCGCCGCCCCCAGCGGCCCCGTCGCCGCCTCCCACCCTAACGCGACCCCCGTCGCCGCCCGCCCCTAAGCGGCCCCGTTGCCGCTCCTAAGCGGCCCCGTCGCCGCCTCTAAGCGGCCCCGACGCCGCCTCTACGCGGCCCTATCGCCGCCCCTAGCGGCCCCCGTCGCCGCCCCCCCTTCCTACGCGGCCCCGTCGCCGCCACTACACGGCCCCGTCGCCGCTCCCCTCCCTAAGCGGCCCCTGTCGCTGCCCCTAGCGGCCCCAACGCCGCCTCTACCAAGCAGCCTAGCAGCAGAGCCGCCGAGCCGCCCAGCAGCAGAGTAGCCGAGCCGCCTAGCCGCCGAGCCGCCTGACAGCCGAGCCGCCCAGCAGCCGAACCGCCGGGCCGCCCGACCGTCGAGCCGCCCAGCAGCCGAGCCGCCGAGCCGCCCGATAGCCGAGCCGTCCAGCAGCTGAGCCGCCGAGCCGCCCTGCCGTCGAGGCGCTACCAGTCCTACCGGCGCGCCCCGGCCCTACTTACACGTACTGGTGAGCTCACTCCTTGCTAGACCTCTGCAGTCATGGCTACCCCCAGTGTTCTTACCTTTGACACTGAGGGTCGTGCTGTTGACTTTGAGGTCTGGGTCGATGACCTCCAGCTGTTCCTCCAGTGCGATAGGACAGACGACCTCTCTCTGTTCGACCTCACCTCTGGTGCCTCCCCTGCCTCGCCTGCTACTGCTGACAGCACTGTTTGCTCACAGTGGGCGACACGCGATGCTGCTGCCCGTCTTGCTGTGCGTCCCCACTTACCAACCACATTAGCGTGCACACTTTAGCCAGTACAAGAGTGCTCAGACATTGTACGACGTTGTAGCTGCACTGAGCCACCTCATGCTACCGTACCTCTTCCCTGACCTTGCTGCCTTTCCCACAATCGCTGACCTCATTACGCACCTCCGCACTAGTGTCACTCACTACCCGCGCTGCGCTCCCTGCTGAGTTCTGGGCCAAGAAACCCCCCCCCCATGTACATCACCCTCTACTACATAATCACCTGGCTCCCTGACTCTCTTCGCTTAGTAAGGGACCACATTCTCTCAGTTTGCCCCACCACTCTCACCGCTGAACTCCTCGAGGAGCGCCTCCTAGCAGTAGAGAAGAGAATAGTAGCTGTAGGAGC